ACCAGCTCCTCCCTTCCCTCTTTGCTTCCTGGTGGTCATGAGGTAAGCAGTGTTCTTCTGCCATGCCCTTCCACTGTGCTGTTCTACCATAGAGCCAACTAAACATGGACTGAATCCTCTGAAAATCATGAATCAAAATAAATCTTTTCTCCTTTAAGTTGTGGGTGTTTGGTATTTTGTCCCAGCAATGTGAAAGTGATTAATATGCCTGCTTTGAACAACTTAATACTCCCTTAACTCAAAATAAACAAAAAGGGAAAACCCCTATACATGATACATTTCAAAACAAAAGGTAAAACCATGCCTCATATACAGATGTAAAAGTGAATGCATGTTAAAGATTTTGTTCAACTCACAAGTGAGGGAAGCAGCCAGGTTATGTAATTTATTTAAGAGACAATCTTAGAATAGACACATTTATAGATCAGAAATATTGAGATTAGTGTGTAAATGGAGGCCAACAGGTAAGGTAGTTCTTATTCCTCTTAAAGTCCAAGAAGCTCAACAAGGCTCTGGGTAGTCTTTCTCGTTTCCTTATTGGCTGTGGTGGAAGCTGCAAAGGAATGCATGTAAGATAAACATAATGACAGAGGTCTCACCCCAGGGTTGGTGAGGGGTGGTCCTCACAGACAGACACAAGCCATTGGTAGCATGACTGTTTTATTTACTTAGCAAAGGGAATCAACACAAACTATTTGAAACAAATATACAAAGAGTTGGGGCTGGGGATTTAGCTCAGCGGCAAAGCGCCTGCCTGGCAAGCGCAAAGTCGTGAGTTCGGTTCCCGGTACCGGAGAAAAACCAAAAAAAAAAAAAAAACAACCAACAAATATACAAAGAGTTTAGATCAGTGGATTTTTTAGAAAAATAAACATATATTAAAAGATTTTTCTAAAATGATAATAACTACTTGGACAATTCAGTGAGGGAAAAGATCTAAAACTATAATGAAAAATATAAATAGAAATACACTAAAGAAAAGTGGGACAGATTAAAATTATATAAAATTTTACAGATATACAAAGTAAAGTTTGAAATCTTTCTTCAAGGATGCATCATCTCTCAAAGATCTTACAAAAGGAGAAGTATAAAGGACGAAGGTAGAGGGAAAATTATGTTTAATGGTCTAGTCTTACATCATATATTCTGAAGTATACCTGCCAAATACTGTGAAATCTGGGCCAAACTCTGGCAGGATTTGGAAACAGATTTCCAGATAAGAATACGATTTCAGGTAAAATGTGAATTTTGTGAAATATTTGGGGCACATGTATACTAAAACTTTATTACTTTTGGCTGGATGTGGTGGCACACAGCTGTAATCCCAGCACTTGGGAGACTGAAGCAGGAGGATCACTGTGAGTTCAAGGGCAACCTAAGCTATAAAATGAGTTCAAGTCCAGCCTGAACTGCAGAGTGAAACCCTGTCTAAACAATAAAAAAAAAAAAACCAACTTTATTACTTTTTATGTGAGATTCTAACTTTTTTTTTCCCCCCAGTACTGGGAATCCAACTCACGACCTTGCGCTTGCCAGGCAGGTGCTGTGCCGCTGAGCTAAATCCCCAGCCCCTGAGATACTAACTTAATGATGTCTTATTGTCTTGCTTTATTTTTAAATCAAGCAAGTTTAGCAGTGAAGCAATCCATATCTTTGCAAATCTAAGTGGCTGAAAGAAATGTCTAGAAAAATAAAAATGAAATTCACCATGTGATACTTGCTCATAGGTATTAAGATGGTTATTATGAAAAAAAATAACAAGTCTTAGTAAGTTTGCAAAGAAAGGGAACGCTTGTATACTGTTGATGGAAATATAAGTTAATATATGTAGTCATTATGAGAAAACAGTAGTAGTCAAATAATTAAAAATAGAGCTATCATATGATGTAGAATTCCCACATTACATATGTCCATGGGGAATGAAATCAATACCTTTTACTTTTTTGCTGGAGCTTAAATCCATGGCTCCATGCAGACCAGACAAGTGCTGTACCACTGAGCTACATCTCCAGACCTGACATAAGTATCCTGAAAAGTATCTGCATCTCCTTGTTCATGTCAGTATTGTTCACAATAGCCAAAATGTGAAACCAACATACGTGTCCATCAACACATGAATGGATGAAAGAAATTGCAGTACATATATACAATGGAACACTATTCAGCCTCTAAAAAGATGGCAGTTTTGTTATCTAAAACAACAGAGATGAAGCTGGCAGATATTATGCTAAGTGAAATAATTCAGACACAGAAAGACAAACACTGCCTGATTATATGTGGAATCTTTAAAAGTTGAATTCATTGGTGTAGAGACTGGGATGGTGGTTACTAGAGGATGAAGGATGGAGGATATAGGAAGCTGTTTGCCAAAGTGGGGGAAAAACATCATTTGTAAGATGAACAAGTACAGCATGGGTGGGGATGGATGTGCTACTTAATTTGATTGTAGCCATCACTGAAAATGTATACATAAATCCAACAGAGAAGTCTATAGACTGTGCACCATGGACACAAAAGGCCTGACCAATAATCCTTTATTTAGAACAATGCTTTCAAGAGAAGTAGAGGAGCGAGTAGAAATGAGCTACAGAGACTCATTTTATCCTAGGAATGGCAGGGGGTGGCGTAGAGCTAAGGAAGACCTGGGCAGACAAGCTGACTTTTATATTTTTCATAAGAGAATTATACAAATGACATCAAAGTATAGAGTGAAAATAAATTTTTTCTTCTACTCTGGTTTTCTAGCCAACGTGTTTTTCCCTTTCACCAGGGGTCAAAACAGCAGTGTGTGTGTGTATGTGTGTGTGTGTGTGTGTGTGTGTGTGTATGTGTGTGTGTGTGTATACATGCACACATGCCTTTTGGAGAAATTCTATACATCTATAGTATGTGTATATGTGGGTTCTTTTTCCTCCTCACACTAAAATACCATATTATAAATAATTGTTCTGCAGCTTGCTGTTTTCTATTTTCACCTAAAATGTTTTTAAAATCATTTCATACTAGTACATATAGATTTTTCTTTTTAATAACTTTGTAGTATTTCATGATATCTACATAATATGACTTAATTCATTCCCACCTGATACACATTTGAGGAGTCCTTAGTTCCTTTACAACTCTATCCAATTTATATCCTTGCATGTATGATTTGACATACATTTGTGATATAAATGTGCGATACATTCCTATAAATAAAACAGGTGGGTTAGAAGTCTGTATCATCCTTGAGAAAAAGTAGGGCACAGCACTACGTCCCTGAAGCACTCTTGTATTTCCAAGACTTGACAAGTCAGGGGACATTATAATCCATCAGGGACCAGACTGTTTAGATAAGTATTATTTGAAGGTCTTTGTCAACTAGGCAAAATAGTGTTTTCTGTAGGAATTTCCTTCCCGTCTACATGCTAAGGTAACTGCTCCTTGGAATGCTGATCATATACTGGAGTAAAGCAAACTCATGCAGTTGCTACTTACATAGCCTAAAAACCTGCTTATCTGCAGTGATCAGGTGTGGAACAGAGCACCATGGAGAGGAAAAGTGCTATGGTCCAGCTGGCTGTCACTGGTCACTGGATACTACAAGTACTTTATGGTGAATACTTGTCCAACTATCACAGCGAAACCTCTTTATGGTACTGTTGTTAAGTACACACCCTCATGGGCTGGACAGAGAAGGGGTTACAGGATAATTTGGGCTCATGCTTCCAGAGGAACAGCCGCTTTCACCCATCCTAACTGCCCAGGTGGTTTGATGAGCAGAGGACCTAGTCATCAGGGACCAAGACTGAGTACCACCCTGGTGACCTAAGCAGGTGCCAGTAGGGACCCATTCTCTAACCTGCCATGTTTGAATCTTGTTGATATTATTAATCATAGTTTTAGTCTGATATATGTTGAGAACTAAGAGAAAAGAACCCAGCAGAATGATTTAAAATGTTGTGAGTTTGGCCAGAAAGGACACTCCAGTATAGTTGTGGACTTCAAAGATGGAGCAGAGGAGAACTTGATTGCTAAGAAGGAAGATGACCATAGATAAGATGGGCTGAGAACATTAGAAGAACCAGCAGGACTCTGCCCTTGGCAGCCTCAAAATTGCAAAAGTATAAGACTGAGAAGAGAGCCCCAGAACACCATGTTCTAAAATGGCAGTGGTCTAAGGAAGTTGTTCTTTGGAATTTGATGCATAGACATGCAATTGTTATAGCCAAGAGAGAAGGAATCCTGATTATTGTTCCAGGTGGCATTGACCTTGGCATCATCCAAGTGGCACTGGTCTTAGCAGTATGCAGAATGCAAGAGTTGTGGGGTCAGGAAGGCTTCCACACAGATTTCAGAAGGTGTGGGAGGCCAGGCACTGTGCCCCTGAGAGGGCAGTGTATGAAGCTGTGAGAGTGAAGCTGAAGGAGCAGTAGAGACTCCAGAAACTTGGAGAACCCAGGAATGTGGATAGTCTGAGGAAAACTTCATGAGGGGCCAGAGCTGGCCCAAGAGAGAAACCATGAGAGCTACAACCACTGGAAGTTCTCCATGGGTGGAATCACCCAAGCCCTTTGGATTTCACATCCTGCACAGATTGCCTTGGATGCTGAACTTGGAACTACAGGATTTACTGTTTGCCCTGCTGGATTTTGGACTTGCTTTGGTCCCATTCCTTTGTATCCCCCTATTTGTACCTTTTGGTAATGTTTCTCTGTGCCATTTTATGTTGAAAGTGTTTAACTTTCTTTTCATTTGAACAGGAACTTGCAGCTAAAACTTTGCTTTAAATATCAGAGGAGGCTTTGGACTGCAGTGTTGGTACGAGGAGGAAGATAAGACATCTGACAAATACTGTTGCAGAGACCCATGTTAACCATCCTGGAAGATTAACAAGACCAAAGATATGGAGAGAGGAGTGAGGAGTGGCTGAGTGTCCATCAAGAAATGTCTTGCCAAGCTCACCTTGAGGAAGAAACCACAAGGACCTTGGCTCAGTCCATCTTCTAGGCTCTTGAGCCATGTCCTCAGGTGAGCTCCCATCTCCCAGCATGGAGCTGCCCGAGTGTGGGACCCACATATGACTACTTGTCCCATCAAGGGACCCTAGGCAGCCTCTCCTAGCTGACCTATCTGAAGGAATTAGACCAATGCCATCTTAGCCAAGGCACAACTAGTTCAAGTTTCAAGATTTATAGGACCATATTAAAAGTCAGGAATGAGGGAGACAAAACTGCTACCCCCACTGGATGACCAAGATTTACAGGCCCTTTAAAAGGATGGACTCAGCAGATAAACATACACTGGCACAACAGCCTAGTGATCAAATGTTACAAAGCAACCCCAACTCAAGACAGCTTATAGCTCCTCCTACAGACTCCATAAAACCTCTCAACCGGTAAGAAGGGTACCACTCTGATGTTTGTTTGCCAGTAGTCCCTCTCAGGTTTTAATCCCAATAAAGCCTGTTCTTTGCTATGGAGCTCGGTTACGTTCATTTTTTCCTAACACGGTCTTTCCCTTTCTCTGGCACCTTTTACCACAAGAGGGAACCCAGAGAATCCCCTGAAAAGGCCTCCCCTTAGATGAAGGAAAAAGTGGGATGGACACAGACTCTTACTGCCATGGATCCCAGTGCCCCTCTATGTTTGCAGAACATGCTTCTTTTCCCACTTTAAATAAATATAGAACTTCTCTACCTTTTGCACCTGTCTTGTCCAGTTCTTTGTTGAGGACAAGAAGAACCTGGAAAGGGGCTGGGGATTTAGCTCACCGGCAAAGTGCCTGCCTGGCAAGCACAAGGCCATGAGTTCGGTTCCCAGTACCGGAGAAAAACAAACAAACAAAAAAAAAGAAGAGCCTGGAAAGAATCTCTAGAAGGGGCCCACAATACCCTAGAACCCTGGTAACGCTGTGGTCCAGCTGTCTTCACAACAGATCATTTTCCACAAGGTCCATCCAACATCCTGTCTTGATATTTCTTCTTGGTCATTCTCTCACCCACATTTTTAGATATGGGCCAAACAGCAGTGTGGGGTCGAGGAGCTGGGTGGACATAGCATCGTTCTGTGTGGATGCCATTGACTGTCCCTGATTTCATCTGAACCTCTCTGCTGGTATCATCCCTGCTCCAAATCCCTGGTTCTCCAATTTCTCTGGATCCGTGTGGACACAATAAACAAACGTATCCCTCCCAAGGAAGGTAGACAACAGTGTGGATGTGGCCGAAGGAGCCAGACTCCAAGTATTCTTCCTTGCTTTGCAAGATGACTCTCATCTCTGACAGGCCCATCTGGCCCTGGAGCAGCTTAGATGGGGCTAGAGAGGGGCCTAAGTGCTGGTCCTGCCTGCGGGGCTCATGGCATCTGTGCAGCACACCTAGAGTGACCTTGTCTATGCCAGTCAGAGTCACACAGGTGATATGGAGTGAGAGATCCTGGTTCTGTCATCAGGGCTGACATGTGCTTCCCCCTCAGGCCTGACCACAGCCTCCAGCCCTGAGAATGGCAGGAACAACCTTGGAACAACTTGTCCCATCAGTGCCCACCTGACCCACCACAACCAGAGGACACCCCCAGAACCAGCCCACAACAGGAGCAAGTGCCTGAATCTGGACAGTGCTTGTGGGTCTCCGCCCTGCCTGGAGTGAGGAAGTAAGCAGAGGGAGTGTGTCTCCCTCTTCTGGGCATCTTCTGCATTTGCCATCTCACACTAGGAGCTGGACCTATTCGCAAAATCCTCTGCTCTAGAATGGGACACAAAGGCAACAGGCATTCGTGGTTCTACTAGGAACAAGCTGGTGTTCTACCAAGTGGATTCACACAGTGAACACTAGCACGGAAGTTATTGCATATACACTGCCATCCAGGATAAAATAGTAAAAAAAAAAAAATAGTGGTCTTTTGGTTTTGGGGAGAGCCTGTGGGAGGCAGTACGATACTATCTTCTCCAGAACAATGAGGGGAGGCCTTGCTGATTAGAGATCATGTGAACTGAGGCTGCAGGGGTGGAGAGCCAAGAACTCTGGGTTCTGCAGAGAGCCCCAGGTAAGGAGAGAACAAGTGCAAATGTCCTGCTGAGGAGCCACCAGGGCCCGGCCAGGATAGGCAGAGAGTAGCAGGACACCAGTGCTCTCTTTGCTGTGAGACAATCAGCTCTGGTCAAAAGTGTCAGCCTCTGTTATAAACCAGGTCTTTGTAGACAAGTGGGTGACACCTGACCTGGGTCATTTCATGCATTCCATCAACAGCCATGAATTTTAAAGTCGATCTTCTGCAGACACTGGGCAGGCACCATTTACTCTTTGTGAAAAATAAAACAAAACAAACAAATGAATGGCCCCTGCCCTCCTGGCAGATGCTGTATTGCAGATAGGAGAGCAGACCGCACACAGACCTCACCCGTTGGTGAGTCCTGTAACCCAGCTGGTAACCGTCAGATGTGGAGGGCTGACATAGAAATCCCTTGATCAATGCAGCGCCATTGCAGGTCCCTGGGATTCCCTCACAATGTTCTCATGGCCCGATCTTCTTTGGTCCAAGTTCTTCAGTTCAGAGCCCACTTGGCGGCTGGCAGTTAGAGGACACTGGTACTGTAGTGCCACCACTTGGTCTCGGGTAGATTGGCATATTCACTAAAACTGGCAATAGGGGAAATAGGGAATAGGGGGAAAGTGCAGGGCTCCATGGTCTGTTCCTGGGGAGGGGACTCATTGTCTATCACCATGTCCTCAGGTCCCTGTTCACAATACTATAAGATTTTTTTTTGCAACTTTTTTCTTGTGCGTGTTCCTTATCGACCTAACATGCACAGATTCAGTGCATACTCCTTGACGTATGACTAACCCTTAGCATTGTGTACTCACCGACCAGCTTAGCAGGGATCATCACCAATGCCCCCCTGCCATGGCACCTTCTCTGAAGTCCTCTGCCCCACCAGGAATGTGACATTGCTCTGGTTCCCTGCTTTCCCAGGTGGAAGGGGTCCCTGGCTTCCCCTTGACTGTTACTCCCATAATCACCACATTCCTCAAGTGTGGAGCAGAGTGTCTCTTCCGTTTTCTCAGTTTGTCTACTCAGTTATGAAGTCTGGTGTTCAGGAAATAACACAGAAGTCTGGGATAAAACCTGAACCAAAACCCTTGGGATTGGGACACGGCAGAACCCACTCAGACATAGTTCTACTTGGACCAAACTTGTATTCAACTGCATGGATTCCACAGTGAGCAAGTCAGCACAGCAGTTGCCATACGAATCTGGCAATCTGGGATGCTCTTCTTCATGATGATCAGGGTAGGTCTCCATGGTTACAGGCCACATAAGCAGAGGCTGCAGGATGAGCAAGCAGGTATCCAGGAGTCTGGAGAGAGTGATCCAGGTAGAGGGGAGAGGGGGTAGCAATGCCCAGCTGAGCAGCTGTCAGGACTCAGCCAGGATGGGGAGGAGCAAATGCTCTGGGCTCCTGTGACCAGGGTTCTGTCTCCGCTGCCTCCCTCTTCATCCCTGATCATAACTGTCAGCCTGTTTTACAAACCCAGTCCTCAGAGACAGGTGGACTGGAGCTGGCTCATTCATTGTGTCCACCAGCAACCATGAATTGCACATGCTGACACCGTGCGATCACTGGGCAGGGACCGGTTGCTGGCTGTGGTGAGACAAGGCACTGGCCTCCTGAGAAGTGCTGTCTACTGAAGGGCAGGCATTAAACTAATAACAATATGTTGGCTCCTATACTGCCCCTGGGTCACCCTGAAATATAGAAACTTCTAGAAAATCCCTCCTAGAGCCCTGGTCCTGCCCTTCCTGTGTCCACAGTCCTAAGTTCAAGAGCACTCCCTAGGTTGCCTGTCGGGAGCAGTTATCATTCATGTAGGGCTATGTGTAATTCTTCCAGCCCCTTGGTTTGTCTACTTGGTTGTGCATATTTTAGTTGAGGAAATAAGAATGGAGAGAGCTTCAGTGGCTCCCTGTGAGTTAGAATGGAGTCAAAGCTGCACTGCATTGATCCACAAGTCCTTACTCAGGTTCATGGGACACCCTATATTGGGCACATAGGGCTGGTGTCCATTCAGAACAGGATCCCTGAAAGCCTGATTATTCTCTTCCTCCTGCAAACTCAACCTGATAAGTGTCTTCTGGTTTATTTGAAGAAGAACAGTTTGTAGATTAGTATTATAAATTCTTTGTGGCATAACAGGGTCCTTCTTTTTCTCTTTCCTTAAGGGGAATTGATATTTTCTTTATTTCCAGAACTATGCCTGGAAATTCAATAAGGGGATGTGACTAACCATTCTGAGGTGATTAATTTTTCATTGACCAGAGCAGACCTTGTGTTCTAGTGCAGGTAAAGGAAGACAGTGTTTTTCTGTGGCCCTGTGGTCCAGAGGCACCATGATGAACTTTCCAACACGAAAGACCAACTTGTGAGGCAGATGATACTCATGACTCATCCAAGCCAACGAGGCTCAGGCCTGGAGATCTTTACTCTGCGTTTCCAGTCAGCAAATATTTACTGAGTGTGTACCATGCATCAGACAAGGATCAGGAGTGGGAGGTGAGCAGTGAGTAAACAGAAAAGAACTGCTTTCATTGAGTTCACATTCCCGCAGGCAAAAAGAAACAATTAACAAGTGCTAAAATACATGCGCACACACAGGAGGAAGCATAAAAGAAATGGAGAATGTAAAGATTAAAATAAAATAGATATGATGGTGGCTGATACAGGGGTGGACATGACTACATTGGATTCTTCAAATAGGGTAATTTGTAGGCAAGGATGAGCTTGACTAGACGTGATTACTTCAGGAGAAATAGTCCTGGACCTTGACCTGCTCCCACCTAACATCAAGGACAATGTCATGCTAAGGCCTATGTTGTTTTGGCAATGAGACTCTGACTTCAGACATATGTGGATTGATGTACTCTGGGACTTCCTGTTCCCACTCACGCTCTGTCTTAAATGTCGGATTATTAGTGTAGATCCAGAAGAATCGCCAGGCTTATTACGAGCTGCTTTATTAGTTATAAACAGAACTCTCTTTGTACTTGGGGTTTGGGGAATCAGTCAGCCTCATACCACCTCAACTTCCTCTTTCAGCCCTTCTTCACCCTTTTGAACTCTTCCACTCTCAGTCCTCTGTCCTGACTCTCACTAGGGAGTGGACTTTGGCAACAGGATCAGAAGGGAACATAAGGGTCCAAGAGTGGAGTGACAGGTGCTCCACTGGAAGGGGCAATGAATCTTAGCATATTATTTTGTATAAAATAGTTTCAGTAAAAGCCTAAGTGATGCCTTGGGAAGCCTCCTGAGACAGTGTAAGAGCTACTTCCCCAGATCAACTCTGCCCAGGAATGTCTCCCCAAGATAAGGGGCGCCTAGGCCTAGGTAAACCTCCTGTGACCCTGCCTGGGCAGTTCCATCTCCTGGCCCTAGGTAAACATTGTAACCCTAAAGGAATGCATAGGTTGTAAAAAAGGAGACAATCAGAACATAATGGGAGAAACATCTATCATGGTTAGACATGTGACCTGCAACTGACCTGGGATCCAACAGGATGAGAGAAAGACCATATGGCCAAAGGGGTCAGCGAATGTAACATCCCCATCTGTTACCATGGAAACCAAAAATGGAAACCAAAATGTATATAAGCTAGGAACAAAGGCAGGCCCCTTGTCCACTTCCCAGGTTGGTAAAGGGAAGGATTGGGTGGCTAGCCTCAAATTAAACTCTGTTTTTTTTCTCGATGGACTCAGATCTCTTATGCCGGGGGTGTTTCTGCTGTAACACCACAGCTAGATCTGGAGACAAGGGCACAAGAAGACAGAGCTGCTGCCTGAAAGGCAAATACTCTGCTGGGGGTTCAGGATCAAGATGGGACACTGTGTAAGGTGTCAAAGTCACAGTGTCAACTAGACCTGTGTGAAGCCAGAAGAAAATCTGAGGCACTCAAGGGTCAGAGTAGTCTGTTAGTGCCTAGGGTAAAAGTTGTTGGGACGCAGGCACTCTGTGCTCACCATTAAAGCTAAGGAAGATGGACAGCGCTGACCCCCACCTTGAGGATTGTCCATTCTAACAAGAAGGAAGTGACAAATCCTAGAGGGTGAGGAGGTGCCACCAAGGAGCAAATGCTCCAATTGGGCTCTTCTGTGCATGTTTGTGTGACCATCAGTCTAGCAGCTGTGGGCTGTGTAGAGGAGATGACACCCCCAAGCCACAGATTTGAGCTGTGCCCAGTCTCTTGAAGTGAGAATAGCCAGTGGCATGGAAGCCTGGGAGTGTCTGCACCAGCTCAGACGGCTTCATTTCCTGCAACTTGCCCCGCTCAGGCATCACACCAAGACAGACAGACCAGAAAGCACAGCAGCACAGGAAAGCAGAAGTGGGGGCATGCACATCAGGCTGTCCGTAGGAGGCTGTATCTTTTTCCCTCCTGAGCCTCATGAATTTTCTGCTGGAAAAATAATCCTAAGTGACATGTCCACGTGGCTGCCTTCTTCTGCCCTTCTTGCTGGTCTCCGATGAGCAGTGCCAGCCCTGAACAGTGAAAGCTGTGTCCTGAGTGGGACAGAGGTGGGGAAGGAGTGGCTGATAGAGGCAAATGGGCTGAGGAGAGAGTGGGAGAGGAGGAGGAGTAATCAACAGCAGCC